TCAACAACCTCAGATATGCAGATGACACAACCTTGATGGCAGAAAGTGAGGAGGAATTAAAGAACCTCTTAATGACGGTGAAAGAGGAGAGCGCAAAATATGGTCTGAAGCTCAACATCAAAAAAACTAAGATCATGGCCACTGGGCCCATCACCTCCTGGCAAATATAAGGGGAAGAAATGGAGGCAGTGAGAGATTTTACTTTCTTGGGCTCCATGATCACAGCAGATAGTGACAGCAGCCACGAAATTAAAAGACACCTGCTTCTTGGGGGAAAAGTAATGACAAAACTAGACAGCATCTTAAATAGCAGAGACATCACCTTGTTGACAAAGGTCCGTATAGTTAAAGGAATGGTTTTCCTAGTAGTGATGTATGGAAGTGAGAACTGGGCCATAAAGAAGGCTGATCGCCGAAGAATTGATGCTTTTGAATTCTGGTGCTGGAAGAGACTCTTGAGAGTCCCATGGACTGCAAGAACATGAAACCTCTCCATTCTGAAGGAAATCAGCCCTGCGTGCTCACTGGAAAGACAGATCCTGAAGCTGAGGCTCCAAGACTTTGGCCATCTCATGAGAAGAGAAGACTCCCTGGAAAAGACCCTGATGTTGGGAAAGATGGAGGGCACAAGGAGAAGGGGACGACAGAGGACGAGATGGTGGGACAGTGTTCTAGAAGCTACCAGCATGAGTCTGACCAAACTGCGGGAGGCAGTGGAAGACAGGAGTGCCTGGTGTGCTCTGGTCCAGGGGGTCACGAAGAGTCGGACACAACTAAAGGACTAAACAACAACAATGTAGTTGTCTCTTGAGAGAACAGTCCCAAAGAGGCAGGAGGGCACCTGGGGAAATTGTGTTATTGTTACAACTGCAGGTTGGAACTGCAGTAAAATGTTGCGGTAGAGAGTATACCTATGGATTAGTATGCTTCTCCATTCCAATCCAGTCTCCCCTCTTCGCGGGTATCCCACCCACCCAGCATTCATTCTGTATCCTACGGGAACTGAGGACCACCATTTCTTCATTAATCTGAGTTTCTGGGGGTGTTTTTCTTTTTTATAAATTTTTATTAGTTTTACAGAAAAGTTATGCACCATAAACATAACATTTTCACACATGAAAAGAAGGGGTTCTTCTGAACCTTCCTTCCCTCCAGGGGTTCCAGTTCTAAATTTTATTCCTGCATCTTTTACTGTAACTCATCTGTTGCGTGGCGAGTTCCCGCCTCCCCGCAGAGAAATAAAGACATGGGACACAATAATTCAGGTTAATGGGCCGAATTAGGCCACAACTTTATTGATTACAGGAATTGAGCGGTATTGGCCTTAGGCATTGGCCCTATCTAAAAACCGGCTAAAAGCCGGAAGGGTTAACCACCAGTGGGAGGAGTCCTGCTGAGGCACGTCAACTAGGACCTCCCCCGGGTGTCACTGCGTGGGGGCGTGCCTTAGGCCACACCTCCTTAGGCTTAGGACAAGGCCAAGCCCCCTGGAATCCTTTACCAGACTACCCTTGTTTGGGGAAGGTGATGGCGCTCCTTCCCCCTTCATTTGTGTAACAATAGAGAGGTACCCCCATCAATGCCTAACCGCCAATACCGAAGAGTTGTGACGGTTCGCTACGAGGTAGGCGAAAACCAAATGGCCAGTGCCAATCTGCCATTTGGGGAAATTCCTACCAGGCCCCTTGACGGCGACCAACCGTAGTTCATAGCAACGTCAGGGAACCTAGCCTAAAGAGTGGGATGGGAGGGAAAAACCAGTCAGCTGTAGGGAAGAAAAGAGGAGGGGCCTCGGCTGCAGCCTGGTTAAATAGCCGAGGCCCCGCCCCCAGTGCCAGCCGATTGGCTGGCCCGGGTATGAGATGGACGGGGATTCCCTTGCTATCGAGGGGGCTGGAGCCAGCCCCCGCGTGTGTGGGGGAGGGGCGTGAAGCCCGCAACCCCACCTCCTTGCCAGCTCGGAAGTGGCTTTATATAATCATGCCATCCAAAATCCATGTTATGTTACAAGTGTCATTGTATTCCTGCCAGCAAATTCAGCTGTTTACAGTGATCTCTCCAGCATGTTGGAAAGTTATTCCAGTCTTTTAAAAATACTTGGGCTTCCTGGTTTCTGATCTTTCCCGTCAGTCTCGCTATTTCTGCATATTTCTGCATCATTCTGGGGGTGTTTTTCAAGGTGTGTCTCCCTAAAGATTGTTCACACTGCTGCAAAATTTGAGGTTCCCCCCAAAAAAACTAGGAATGGAGGAGATTTTTAAAGCATTTTTGCACCTTCCTGTTTTGCCTCAGACAACAAAATGGGCCGGGCCGCTTCTGGGCCAGACCAATGCAAAGGCAGAATCACTTCTTATACCTTAAATATCCGAGTACAGGAGCTGGTTGCCAAAAAAGGGTGCAAGTTTCCCTTCGCTTTGCATGGCCAAACTGTACCGGCTCAGTACAGATCCTCCTTCCAATTAAAGATACACGAAACCCGCTTTTTCCTTTCACATTTCTGGTTGTCTTAGAGACAAGGGGTCAGCTATGAGGAGGATACCCTCCAACATTTCTCTGATGGAAATAGGAGCAGTCTATTCAATGATAAGAGCAGGACTGTGGCGCTGTGGTTAAACCGCAGAGCCTAGGACTTGCCGATCAGAAGGTCGGCGGTTCGAATCCCCGCGACGGGGTGAGCTCCCGTTGCTCGGTCCCTGCTCCTGCCAACCTAGCAGTTCGAAAGCACGTCAAAGTGCAAGTAGATAAATAGGTACCGCTCCGGCGGGAAGGTAAACAGCGTTTCCGTGCGCTGCTCTGGTTTGCCAGAAGCGGCTTAGTCCTGCTGGCTACATGACCCCGAAGTTGTACGCCGGCTCCCTCGGCCAATAAAGCGAGATGAGCGCCGCAACCCCAGAGTCGGCCACGACTGGACCTAATGGTCAGGGGTCCCTTTACCTATTAAATAATAATAACAATAATAATAATATTTATACCTTGCCCATCTGACTGGGTTGCCCCAGGCACTCTAGGTGGCTTCCAACATATATAAAAACATAATAAAATTAAACATTTTTTTTTTAAAAAAACTTCCCTATATTGGGCTGCCTTCAGATGGTTTGGGGGTCAAATAACTCCATATCCTCCAACATTCCTCCAGTGAAAATAGGGACATGCTAAGGAAAAGCAAGGACAAACCTAGACAGCATCTTAAAAAGCAGAGACATCACCTTGCCGACAAAGGTCTGTATAGTTCAAGCTCTGGTTTTCCCAGTAGTGATGTATGGAAGTGAGAGCTGGACCATAAAGAAGGCTGATCGCTGAAGAATGGATGCTTTTGAATTCTGGTGCTGGAGGAGACTCTGGAGAGTCCCATGGACTGCAAGAAGATCAAACCTCTCCATTCTGAAGGAAATCAGCCCTGAGTGCTCACTGGAGGGACAGATCCTGAAGCAGAGGCTCCAAGACTTTGGCCACCTCATGAGAAGAGAAGACTCCCTGGAAAAGACCCTGATGTTGGGAAAGATGGAGGGCACAAGGAGAAGGAGACGACAGAGGACGAGATGGTGGGACAGTGTTCTCCAAGCTACCAGCATGAGTTTGACCAAACTGCGGGAGGCAGTGGAAGACAGGAGTGCCTGGCGTGCTCTGGTCCAGGGGGTCACGAAGAGGCGGACACGACTAAACAACAACAGCAAGGAAAAGAATACCTTTTTGGGATCAAATCAGAAACCGGGACGGCTTCTGTAATTCCAGGACTGTCCCTGGAAAACAGGGACACTTGGAAGGTCTGGAAGGGTGTGTGTGTGTGTGTGTGTGTCTGGGCTCATCCCCACCACCAACATCCCAACCCTTATGGAGGCTTTCTTCAAAGCCAGACCCGTTTCTCATTAATATCATTACGCGTTTGCTACGTGCTGTTCTTTGCCTGCCCTAAAGTACTTAGAGGGACTCCCAGGCCCCAGTAATCAGTTCCAAATGGTGGCTCTGGTGGAGAGAGGAGAACAGCTTCCTTGATTCAAAACAGGCGCAATTTGCAAAGGCGAATGCCACGTGGGCCTCCACCCCAGCAAAGCAGCGTCAAAAAACAACCAGCTTGCTCTCTTTAGAAAAGCATGACAAAATACTGATTGGGGTCTCTTTAAAGGTAAAGGGACCCCTGACCATTAGGTCCAGTCATGGACAACTCTGGGGTTGCAGCGCTCATCTCGCTTTATTGGCCGAGGGAGCCGGCGCACAACTTCCTGGTCATGTGGCCAGCATGACTAAGCTGCTTCTGGCGAACCAGAGCAGCGCATGGAAACGCCGTTTACCTTCCCGCCAGAGTGATACCTATTTATCTACTTGCGCTTTGAGGTGCTTTCAAACTGCTAGGTGGGCAGGAGCAGGGACAGAACAACGGGAGCTCACCCCTTTGCGGGGATTCGAACCGCCGACCTTCTGATTGGCAAGTCCTAGGTTCTGTGGTTTAACCCACAGCACCACCTGCGTCCCTTGGGGTCTCTTTAGCTTCCTGGAAACTGTAGTTTCTTTTGTTGAAGCTCCGGGCATTTCTGCCTTCCGCCTTTGTAGGTACACATGTCAGAACGGCAGGTATATAATTATGCACAGGAGAGCTGCCAAATGCTCAAGCTTCACAACAAGCCGGGAAGTCACTTGTCCTTTGATGGCGATCACGCATTGTTGCATGGAAAAAGCTCCTATGCGCTGCGTGGTTTAGAATATCTGCCTGTTCGTTCGTGCTTATCCACTGTCTGCATCTAGCGATAACAACTCTGCGTCACGGAGAACTCCACCGTGGCTTCCAAATGAACCAGGAAGTTCAGGAGGCTTCTCAGACCAGGAGACCTCTCTTTTCACAGAATCACAGAGGGACCCAAAGATCATCTAGTCCAACCCTCTGCAACGCAGGGGGCGCCATGCCTTGAGCAGCTGCAGGACAGGCAGAAATCAACAGGTGAAGCTGCTTCGCTTCGTTTCCAGGCTGATAACGGCAAGGAGTGAGTAAAGGTGGTGGTATTTGGACCCAGAAGTTCAAGTTAGTAAATCGTGAGACTCTGAATCTCTGGTCTGTGGGTTCAAGCCCCGCTTTGGGCAAAAGATTCCTGCATTGCAAGGGGGTTGGACTAGATAACCCTTCCAATTCTATGACTGTACATCACCTTGCCAACAAAGGTCCGTATAGTTCAAGGTATGGTTTTCCCAGTAGTGATGTATGGAAGTAAGAGCTGGACCATAAAGAAGGCTGATCGCCGAAGAATGGATGCTTTTGAATTCTGGTGCTGGAGGAGACTCTTGAGAGTCCCATGGACTGCAAGAAGATCAAACCTATCCATTCTGAAGGAAATCAGCCCTGAGTGCTCACTGGAAGGACAGATCCTGAAGCGGAGGCTCCAAGACTTTGGCCACCTCATGAGAAGAGAAGACTCCCTGGAAAAGACCCTGATGTTGGGAAAGATGGAGGGCACAAGGAGAAGGGGACGACAGAGGACGAGATGGTGGGACAGTGTTCTCGAAGCTACCAGCATGGGTTTGACCAAACTGCGGGAGGCAGTGGAAGACAGGAGTGCCTGGCGTGCTCTGGTCCAGGGGTCATGAAGAGTCAGACACGACTAAACAACAACAACAACCATTTGCGGGAGTCTTTTTTTTTAGAGGGAGATGAAACATACCCATTTCTTTCCCCCACCCTTTAAGTATTTCTCATTACCCATTTGGCTCCTGTTGCAGATTGGCTGCTGGAACAGCCTTCTGATTGGTTGCTCATTTTATAAAAACTGCCCCATCAGGAGGTCATTCTCAGTCTTCTTGACCACTCGCTTTGTGGGTTAAAAGTAACACTTAAACTCCCAGCGTAGCCCATCGATAGCAGCAGTTCATAGGTCTCGGCAGCCAGTTTCCTGGACTCTATAATCACATCAATGCAGCTAGGAAAGAATAACAAACAGAAACAGCAGGATGCTAGGCTGTGGGTCGGCCTTCTCTGCCCCACCCAATCTAAAAATAAAAATGAGGGGAGTAAAATCCCATTGGCTTTGATCCTCGGGCTGCCAGCATCTCTAGAAACGAAGGTCTTTAGCAACAGCATTTTCTTTACGTAGTTTTCATCATATGCTGACGTACGTTCCAAAACCAAAGCGTTCCAAAACCAAGGCGCGCTTTCCCATAGAAGGTCATGCAAAACGAATTAATCCGTTCCAGACCTTTAAAAACAACCCCTAAAACAGCAATTGAAGATGAATTTTACTATCTAACGAGACCATTGATCCATAAAATGAAAGCAATAAACGATGTACTGCAGTCACACAATCAATCCATCAGTAGCTGACCTGGGTTCCACACAGTCACAAAAACAAAACAAAAAAATAGCAAAAACAGACAGACCTCAGCGTAACACTCAAAACGGAAGTGTGGCACTCAGAACCATGGGCAGGCAAACTAAGGCCCGGGGGCCGGATCCGGCCCAATCCCCTTCTCAATCCGGCCCATGGACGGTCCGGGAGTCTGTGTGTTATTACATGAGTAGAATGTGTCCTTTTATTTCAAATGCATCTCTGGGTTATTTGTGGGGCATAGGAATTCGTTCACTCCCCCCCCAAAAAATATAATCCGGCCCCCCACAAGGTCTGAGGGACAGTGGACCGGCCCCCTGCTGAAAAAGTTTGCTGACTCCTGCTCAAAATGGAGACGTAACACTCAAAGTGGAGCACCTTCGGCTTCCGAAAAAGGTTCACAAACCAGAACACATATTTCCAGTTTTGCAGTGTTTGGGTTCCAAGTTGTTTGAGTACCAAGGCGTTTGAGAACCAAGGTACCCCTGTACTTGGAATGAAGGTTGGAGGAGACTGTGGTGTCTTTCTGACGCATACACCCCCCAAGAATAAGATGGAGGGGCTCACAGCATCAACACCCCCAACAAATCTCGCTTCTCCATTAGCCACAGCTTTGGATCCAGCTCAGAGCAAGCAGGTCTCTGTGGCTCCAGCTTCCAACATCCTGTTCAGATACCTCTGGAACTCCTTCCTGCAGGAAGCAATGGTCACCACCAACCCAAAGTGCTCTTGTGAGCCAATGCTGCTTGCGGATATCCCACAAGCGTCTGTTCAGCCACTGTGAGAACAATGGCCTGATCCAGGACTCTCTTCTTCAGTCCTGATGATGATGATGATGATGATAATAATATATATATACCCCGCCCATCTGGCTGGTGGCTTCCAACAGAACACTAAAATACAATAACCTATTAAACATTAAAAGCTTCCCTAAATAGGGCTGCCTTCAGATGTCTTCTAAAAGTTTGGTAGTTATTTTTCTCTTTGACATCAGCTGGGAGGGCGTTCCACAGGGTGGGCGCCACTACCGAGAAGGCCCTCTGCCTGGTTCCCTGTAACTTGGCTTCTCGCAGGGAAGGAACTGCCAGAAGGCCTTTGGCACTGGACCTCAGTGTCTGGGCAGAATGATGAAGGTGGAGACGCTCCTTCAGGTATACTGGACTGAGGCCATTTAGGGCTTTAAAGGTCTGCACCAACACTTTGAATTGCACTTGGAAATGTACCAGGAGCCAGTGTAGGTCTTTGAAGACCGGTGTTATATGGTCTCGGCAGCTGCTCTCAGCCACCAGTCTAGCTGCCGCATTCTGGATTAGTTGTTTCCGGGTCACCTTCAAAGGCAGCCCCATGTAGAGCGCATCGCAGTAGTCCAAGCGGGAGATAACCAGAGCATGCACCACTCTGGTGAGACAGTCCGTGGGCAGGGAGGGTCTCAGCCGGCGTACCAGGTGGAGCTGCCCTGGACACAGAATTGACCTGCGCCTCCATGGACAGCTGTGAGTCCAAAATGACTCCCAGGCTGCGCACCTGGTCCTTCAGGGGCACAGTTACCCCATTCAGGACCAGGGAGTCCTCCACATCTGCCCGCCTCCTGTCCCCCCAAAACAGTACTTCTGTCTTGTCAGGATTCAACCTCAATCTGTTAGCCACCATCCAAAGGTGAACCTCACCTTTCCCATCTGGCCTCTGCCCATTCCTCTCTGCCACCGTTGTGTGTCTAGCCTCAGATTATCAGCCTTTAGAATGGCGCAAGCATTCGAGAAGGACGGAATATTAGCAATGCCATTGTTGTGCCATTCAGGGCAGCGTTATTGTTGGGCAATGAAGTGCAACGAGACACTTTGCTAATCTCCTTATGTAACCGGATCTGAAAGCACAACAGTGACTCTGAATTCTTCGCTGTCTCAGTCACAGAAAAGGAGGATGGAAACGACCGATTGGGACATCTCCCTCACCCATCCCTTGTGACTCACGATGGGCTCACCTGTTCACTCAGCCGATGCTCGGATGATCCCACCCTTCTCATGCCTTCGCTGAAAAGGACAGCATCGCTGCTGAGCTTTCGGTGATTTAGTCACCAGGATCTGACCCCCAGCTCCCCTTCCACTGGGGGCGGCAAGAGCCGGAAGCCCTGCGATGGCTTCACGGTGGCTGGGCTTGTCTGCTAAGGAATTTCTTGCCACCAGGTGCTCTTACCAGCTATAAATACAGGCATGTTCCTAGTCCATACGTCGGAGGCAGTGTGGTGCAGTGGTTAGAGTGACGGACTAGGTCCTTGGAGATGAAGTTCTGAATCTCCACTTGGCTATGAACATCACTGGGTGACCCTGGTGGGGCGGGCAGTCACTACCTCTCAACCCAGCCTACCTCACAAGGTTGTTGTGGAGCTTAAAGGAGCAGGTGGAGCACTACGTAGGCCACCTTGAGCTCCTTGCAGGAAAACCTGGGATATCAATGCAATAAACAAGCAAGCGACAGCCGTAGGGGTCCAATCCACCATCCATCCTAAAGATGCCAAGTGGAATGATTAAGGATTAATAAAAACACACAGAGACATGACGCCGTAGCCTCATTTATCACACCTGTAGCATTCTGGGTTTTTTGTTTTTCTTTCTTTTTTTATTGGAAATTTTATTTACAACATAACATAAACCCCCCACCCCCAGTACAGAAATCCACCCTCTTTAAACGTGAACATAACAAACAATAAGCATAACATACAACAATACAAACAACCAAATAAAAGACTTCCTTTATCCTGTATCTGGGCTTCTTATTTACTTCTTATAAGCTGTTTCCTTTATAAATAATTATTAAGATTTTTCTAATTATAACTTAATTATCCACCAAGTCTCCTGCAGACATTAATCAAAACAAGTCCAGGTATGTATTTTAGGGCACTGTTTTTCTGTGCATTTCGCCCCGTGCTTTTTGAAACTCTTGTCTAGTGTGATCTCTAATTGCCTCTGTTAATCTAGCCAGTTCAATATACTCTAACAGTTTGTCTTGCCATTCCATTTTTGTTGGCACAATTTTTTCCAGTTTTTAGCAAAATCCTTGCCACTCCTGTGGCATAGAGGAATATTTTATGATCTTCTCTTGCTATGCCTGTGTCCGTTATCCCGAGTAGAAAAGCTTCTGTATTTTTCATAAGGTTATACTTAAACATTTTTTTTAAGCTCGTCATATACTATATTCCAGAAGCTTTTGTTTTTTCCCCACAGGTCCACCAAACGTGTATAAGTGTCCCCTCTGTTTTACCACACCTCCAGCGCAGATTTGTTTTTGTCTTATCCGTTTTAGCTATTTTGGTAGGTGTTAAGTACCATCTATAAAACATTTATGGGGACACGGGTGGCGCTGTAGGTTAAACCACAGAGCCTAGGACTTGCTGATCAGAAGGTCGGCGGTTCAAATCCCCGCGACGGGGTGAGCTCCCGTTGTTCGGTCCCTGCTCCTGCCAACCTAGCAGTTCGAAAGCACACCTGTGCAAGTAGATAAATAGGTACCGCTCCGGCGGGAAGGTAAACGGCGTTTCCGTGCGCTGCTCTGGTTCGCCAGAAGCGGCTTAGTCATGCTGGCCACATGACCTGGAAGCTGTACGCCGGCTCCCTCGGCCAATAAAGCGAGATGAGTGCCGCAACCCCAGAGTCTGCCACGACTGGACCTGATGGTCAGGGGTCCCTTTACCTTTACCTATAAAACATTTATCACACCTGTAGCATTCTGAAAAGCAATATAACCTGCCAGCAAACTATGGTTGGAAAT